TTATTGCCAACATGGCAACAGTGCCTGGTACGATTTTTTTGGGGCATGTTGCAGATATGGTTCGCACAGGAGAAGGATCCACCACCAAACCACTGGGGAGCGGGGTGCGGAAGGGGGGGATTGGAAATGTGGGGACGTCAGAGATTCTGGCCTGGCCGGATTATAGAGCATTTGCGTGGGCGGCTTGGTTCAGGGCTTCGGCAGCTTCGGGTTTAGTCTTTGTCATATCTTTAAGGAGGGGCTCTATGTCTGATGGAAGGGCAGGATCTGGTTTAGGGGTGCAATGCACTGTGCGTTTTAGGGGTGCTATTACAAAGTCTTCAAGCCCTTAGATTATGGCTTCGAGCATCGGCGTTTGGAGTGTCATGAGACGGGATTCGCCAAGCAGTGTATGAGGAGCGGTGCCTTTTCCTTCTCAGGGTTTAAGGCACTTAGGATTTAGGAAATTATGGGTTATGGATTCAGGGACAAGTCGCCTGCGGGCCTCCTGAAAAAAGTCCAATCCCACAGCACTCTAGCCCTCCACTTGCCGAACAGCTGGTCAGGTGGATGCAGAGACTAGATCGATGCAAGATTCCGTATACCAGCTTGACTGAACACGAGACAAGCACAACAATAAACCCGTACGAGCCTTAGTAAAAAGAAAGCACGAGTGAACTCTTCCCAAAAGTCACCAAGAGGCCCTCTGCCAAGTACCTATGTAAGCTTTCAGGGAAGCAACATCTGAACAGGCGAAGCCCTGCAAAATTCAATACTTTAGGGCCCAGGAGCCACTGCACATCCCTAACCCTAGAGCTCCGAACTCAAAAGCTCTGCAGCTGTGGCTCCGGCCTGATGGCGTCGTTATGGCCGACGCCATAAATCCAATCACCCGCAAGGTGAACCCTAAGGGGCGGAGAATTTAGAGCATCGTTAAGGGTGTCGGTTCCATATCCGTCCGGCTCGACAATAGTTTCAAACCTTGGGATGAAATTCTCAATGGGCAAGTCAGGCACTGAAGGCATAAGCATCGCGAGGCTGTTTGGGTAGTTTCGTAAACCTATACTATATACATGGCTATGACCAGCCGTATCCTCGTCATCAGGAACCCTCCATCACCTTGATAGCTAAGCTCTCCGCAATAATGTGCCTAAACCCTAAACTAAACCCTAAGAGAGAGCTCATGTATCTGCTCTCATTCCCGCGGCCTGCAGATGAAATCAGATGAAAAGGCTTGAAGTGACAGGATGTACTTGCTCACCAAAAGAATGCCGACGGGCCTACAGTAACTGTGAAACTTGAAAGATCTTGTGTTCGCGACAGCTATGGTCTTTATCTGTTTTGAGTACGACAGTCACAGTGGTTCGATGCGTGGAGTCTGAAGCCTCTCGATCTCTGAAGAGGTTTTGCACAGAGCGGACGAAAACAGTCGACGTCCACCGGGCCGGGACCGGGAGGGTGTAGCCGTAGAGCCCCTAGGTACGGTAGCAGTCCCCTCTCGGCACTTCTAGTTTCACAGTAACCCCAAAGCATCCGAATCAGTGTTACCTTCAGGACTTTAGGGCTAAGGGCATCTCACCGGACCAGCCAAGAGTGACTCGTCAACCCACCTGCGTTCCTACGCCCCAAGGCCCACACAATCTATAAACACTAGACTCACTAGACCTAATCCTATCACAAAGCTCAAACCCAACCGTGAGCGAACGTTGTTCAAGCGACGCTGGAGGCTTCTCGAAACTTCTTGATGTGCCCATGTTCATGCACCCGATCATCACCGGCGAAGCAAAAGCTACAATGGAGTGCGTGCTTCCCTTTCATGGAAATTCATCCAGAGCTGAGTTTCGGGTGGACTTCATATCGTGGAGTATCGGTTTTCGTGCCTGGACATGCAGGTGAGAAAAAGTAAGGCTCAGGCCCCCATATGAGTAGGCTTCAGCCGATATCCCGCAAGCTTTCAAGCCTGAATCAGTGGACCAACCCAATACACCTTTGCAATACAGACTCAAAGAAGAACGCAAATTTCACAACAGCTAACCTAACATAGGGTTTTTGCTAAGGAACTGAGAATTATCGGGACAGTGATGTTTACAGTATGCTTTCCTTATCGTGGTAGGTTGAACTAAGCTCGTTAACCCCCCCCCGCTGTAGAACCCTTCCCACAACTCGTAACAGCCAAGTGTCGTCAAACCCTATAAGAGCCTTCAAACTAAGTTTAACTAAGTACATTAGCAAGAACCCGGAGCTGTGAGACCGAGGTTCCCGTTCTTGGAGTTGAACATCGGCACGAACTTTCCTGAGCCAGAAGATTGCAAATTTTTTCCTTGAGGGTCTGAGGGTCTTGGGGGCTGAACTGCTTTAGGGTCGTGGATCCTGATTTCAGGTGGTCCGGTCGCCTGCGCGTCAGCTTAGGGTTTTCCTACCTGTCGGGTTACCCAGGGAAAGTATAGGATAGCCTTTGGGATTGCACTTCGTTTCCTATCGAACCAACAAAAGTTACCTATTCGACTGCTTTAGTGCCAACTGCAGAGCGGGACATGCTAACAAGCGGCGTGCGATGGCAATCTCCCACAGGGAAAAGAAATGGTGCGACCAGGCATACTGAGTCTTGACCTTTGCATTGTCAAAGCTCTCTCCAGGCGCGGTAGATCGGATGTCTCTCTTAATTCGTAGATACGTTCCGATCAGGCCTGGCAGGGAAGGAATCACACAAGATGTGTCAGCGACAGTCAAACCCAAACCCAACCCTGTGGGGCGCTAGCCTTCGCCTCGGTGGGATTCGGCACCGGGCTCCGTCTAATAGTACAGGAGTCGTAGCGATGACAAGCAGGCTTGGTGGTAGATGTAGTACGTCAAAAACAAAAGCGACCATAGTACATAAAGGGATACTTCTACTAAGGATCCAGATCGCTATATTCTCCTTCGGGCGTGTTACGGTTTTGGGTTTGGGGTGGGGGATTGCGGTCCAGGGCTGTTGTACGGCTTGAAGCACAGCAAAATTGTGAAGCAGCCGTAATGCTTTGAACTGTGCTGCCAAGGGCTGAACAAAGCTCTAAGCAAAACCAAACCACAATGAACCTGGCAATGGTTATCCCGTTATCCCACCTCTGCCACCGAACTCCCCAAGACTTACTGCATGTCTGCAGGTTCTACGCCGGAGATGTATAGGATCGATCGCTACGCAGTCAGCAGCTGCAGTTGCGGATGTAGCCTCGCCACTTTCCCATTAAAACACAGAAACCTCTGCGCACCAGGAGGAGGCCTTGCTCGAGTTGATCAGGTTTCTATCGCCGTGCACCGTGAGGAGCAAGTCACTATCCTGCTCTGGCTTGGGATTTAGAGTTTAAGGTTCTTCGTGGAGTTGGGTTTAGGCTAGACTTTGCGGTCCACGAGTAGGGTTCAGGGCGCAGCCCAGCAGTTTTAGGATCTGCCGTGCTGTTTGCTTTGCGGCACTCTACGTTTCAATCTTATGGCAGTGGGCTGCCAAGGGTTCTACATGGTTCTACAGGAGTTAAAAGTTTTTTTGTGTTTTCCTAGGGGCTATTTGGCGGATTTCAGGCTGATAAGATCGGGGTTTATATAATGAGCAATGTGCTACTCCTGTTGTGATAACTTGGCTTAAAATCCTGGCAAAGAACCCAGTCCAAGAAGCAGGATCTTTCCTGAGCATCCACAGCCTTGAGACGCACAAGAAATAAACCCTTCACTGAACCCCGTCTATCCCTATGGAACCGGAAATCTTGAGCCCTGCTAAACGGTTCTAAGTTCCGCTTCTGGCGACGGTGTTTCGGGTTGGGGGCTTTGCGGACTCCAGAAGTGGGGATTTCCTGGAAATCGAGAGGACACTTAGCCTTTCCCAGCAAGACTACACGAGATTGTCGCACACATCATTGTGGCGCTGCAGCGCTTGTGCGACTTCGTCGCCACAGTTGGGCATGATGCTTTCTAGCGGGGGTGCTCAAAATTTAACCCATGCAGCCAGCTTCTCGGAAATGGCACATGAACTGCGAACTGCTACATGATGAGGCAGTTGGTGTTCAGGGTTCAGGGGTTTAGGTTTCGGGTTCGAGTAGGCTACATCTTCTATGCACGTGTCCACTGAGCCCCAGTCCTGGTCACCAAAGATCTGGCCAATCTTCCCTGGCGGAGGAAACGGACGTGGACCGAATCCCAGGATTCAGCTTCGAGCTTGCACGACAGACTACCCCGGCACCCTGATCCGGATACAGCTCAAACCGAGAGGGTCCAGAGCCCCAAAGAACCTCATATAAGAGGACCCTCAAACGCGCGACGCCCTGAAAAGACGTTAAGATCATCTCCCAAAGCAGTCTGCTAGTTTAGCAGCGGCCCCTGCACCTCTCTGGACTCTCGACACAAAGGCGTAAGGCTCTGCTGAAGCAAACGGCTGAACGCGTTAACGCTCAAACCGAAATCCTGGCACCTAGAACACTCAGGCAACAGCACACGGCTCGCTGCCTTACCATAACCTACGTTTTTTTGGTAGGGGCCCTGTACCAAATAAGTGTCAAACACACTGCAAAAAATGGTGGGTTCTGGCAAGTCTAGGTCCCAGGTAGCGCTGTATCTAAGTGCCGGGCAATGGGGGAACTTCCTGAAACAGGAAGTTCAGATAAAGGGCGGAATAATTACTCAAATTTCCGCCTGTCATGGCATCATCATCGACGAAATACAAAACCTGAGCGCATTCTTGGCAAAATCTTGAATACCTTGAATGCTGGACCAGGAATCTGAGGCATTGGCGCGATAATCGGTTGTGGTAGGTTGTGGAGTTTGCTGTTGGGCCGTTCAGACCCACCAAGTGTGGAGCCCTGGGTACGTAGAGGTCTTGTACGGGAGCCCCGCGAAGCTGGGGGCACTAGACACCTGAACCTGGCTATGTAGCTGCCATGGGAGCAAGAGTTTTGGTCCTTTGACGTCAGGGCGAGGGACCGCTTTGAACCCTGCAAAAGCCATCATGCCCCACTTCATAAATCAACTAACAGTACTAACAATCCCATAGAACTCTACCGTCCCTGGAGGTAAGCTTGCTTATGTTTTCGGGGCAGGCTTTGGGACTTAAAGGTCTATCAGGTGTAGGCATTTCAGCAGAGTGTAGTGTTTAGGTTGTTGTTTGCACACCCGCTGAGCTGACGAGGTCGCACAAGGCTTTAGGGCGTAGGGTTTGCAATCGAGCATGCAGGGCTTCGGGCCTGGGGGTGACGTGTCAGCGATCACAAACAAACCTCAAAGTGTGCAAGCATGGGAGATGTTTATCGCATCCCTACACCTCCTAACCACTGAGCCCCGCACCGCAGTTCTTCTAAAGCAAATCCTGTGAAGTAGCTTGCGGCATAAAGCCGTCAGCCCTATACCCAAGTAGTTGTTGAGGCCTCTTCTTTAAACAGTTTCTTTGTACATACATATATATATATACATATAACTTATGCATGTATGTATGTATGGATGGATGTATGGATGTATGCATGTATGTATGTATGCATATATATATATATATATGCGCATGCTCGGGCCTGACGTGGCCGGTCCTAAAGCCCAAAACACCAAAACACGAAGCCGACACCCCTCGCTTTCGACATCGTCAAGCACGTTATACGACATATCATATATTAGGTAAGAACATATAATACGTATCTATACCTATGTATATGTATATATATATATATAACCTATGCTAGATAATATAGGCTTCACATGAAAATAGATGACCATATAAAACTAAATAAAAATAAACATATAAATACGAATATATATATATATAATATATATATATATAACAATGTACAATATTCAGGACCTGAAAGAGTTGGCCTGTAGCCGGGACCTGACTATGACAAACCCGACACCCCCAAAGTACCTGAAACTTAAAATGCAGAAGCTCACAATGCAGTCGCTCGCAAAAAAAAAATGCACCCCTGTTCACTCTGGAGCCTGAAGCCCTGATTCCTGCCGCCAAAACCCTCCTGGCACTTTCTACAACAAGAATCAGCATGAACGCAAAGACCCCTGCCGGCGAGCCAGCTGCAGGTGCGAAGTGGGATTTTGCCACCTCGGGATTGACGGGGTTCAACCGACTTAGGCTCGGGCTCGAGATTCGTGTTGATGTTTCAAGGCTACTTCTGAAGCTTTGCCATTACGAACTTGAGCATTGTCAAGTCACAACATTTGGCGACAAACCCTGGAACTAAAGCCTTCAACCACAAACCGCTGAACCCCCCGAGCCCGGAGCTCTCAGACCCCAAGAGAGGAACCAAGGTTTTAGAGTTGGCTCAGGTGCCATACTGTAAAGACTGGAATCAAGTTTTGAGGACATCTCTCGTCAACTGGTGAGCTCTATCCCGTGCGCCCCAAAGCGCAAAACCCTAAATTAAAGCCTAATCCTAGGTCCTAGGTCCTAGGTCCTAGGTCCTAAACCCTTAACTCTGGACCCGAAACCGGCCATCATAACCCTAGAGCTCTGACAGCATAATGCCTTACACCCTCATCTAAAATCCCATGTTGCCGGGTTACCTGAACTTCGCAAGGCTCTCCGATTCAGAACTCGCGCAAGCAGCAACACGTGATGTAGACTGTCACTGACCGTGACATCAAGCTCGGGAATGGCTGCAGAACTGTGCATGTGAGAATAGATCTCGCGGCCTGGGGTTTGAGGTGTTGAGCTGATCGCCAGGGTGGTTGCTCTGAACCGGGCTTCCGTGACAAAGTTTACGAATGCAAGGTATCCACCAGTGTCACCGGAATACACACAACACTAAATAACCATTCCTAACCCTGGTTCTGGCCTTAGTGCCTTAACTGCCAGGCCAACTGTTCAAGGCATCGACCGTCGCTTCCGCATCTGTGTGGAACGTCCTCGGGCGTGTAAGATCCTACACTGGGGCCCTTGCGAGAATTACTATGTTGGCTGTTTCTTAGCGGTTTCTAGTAACCAAATCAAACAGTTCCAAATTATTTCCAAGTACCCGTAAGGAACCCTTAGCCAGAAAGGCTAAATCCCATGGCATACACCCTGAAGGCCTGGGCGTTGTAGTGCTTGTGTGGGTCCACCTGAGAGGCCTTCCTATAGTATGTCCTATAGCGCTTCATAGTAACTAGGTATGTTCTGTAAAGACTCCCAAACAGCGAATCTGAATTGCCAGGAAAGCCCGAAAGTAGTAGTAGTAGTAGTCTTAGTAGTAGTACGCGTCCCCCCTACCAACCACCTCTGCTACAAACCTTCTTAGGAGCACATCTGCTTTACTCGGTATTTGCGGGGCGTTCGTTGTCATACCACTTCTTCTTGCCTCATAATCCTCTCCGCGACTTTGACAGATTCAGCTTCGGATTGGTGTTGGGGGGGGGGCATGGGATGGGGGGGGGTGGGGTGGCGGGGGATACTGACGTACAGGCAGCCTGAGACGGCAAAAGAGCCGTTTTACTCGGTATTTACTGTCATTTCGTGATGTCGGACCCTTTTATATAGTCACCAAACCTACTTTTGCACTTCGCGAACTTGACCTTGGGATTTCGGGGGCTTGCGGCGAAAACTCGAGATTGGGTGGGGGGGAAGCCTTTTCGGGGAATGATCACGACACTGTTTCGCGGACACCCCGAACACTATCTCCGCACCTTAGAGCGCACACACCACACACTGCTTCAAAAGCAAACCCTCCTATGCCGACGGCTTTAGGAGCCCATCCCTTGTACAGCTGGCATCTTTGTTCTGATGTTTATCAGATATTGCATGTTAGGTTGTAGGAGTGTTAACACCTTCTTGGCAGCACCTGCGTTTTGCACGGTATTTACAGCGCTTTCGTACCATCCGACCACCTCTTGCGTAGCCGTTTCTTTGCCGTCGAATTTGCAACTCCAGCAGCTGTCGTACGTTTGGGGCCTGAGCCTCTGCAACTTCAAAGGCTGTGACAGTTAAGGAAAGTGAGCCTCTGCAACTTCTGCAGCTGTCCCAGATAGGGAGCCTGAGCCCCTGTATCCTATGCAGCTGTTGCAGTTAGGGAGCTTAGAAGCTGCCGCTGCCAAGCCCGGTGGAGCAAGTGGTTGGTAGGCCGGGGGGGTGGCTAGTAGTAGGCCGTAGTCGTCGTCGTAGCTAGTAGCAGTTAGTAGTGGCCTTGACACCATTCGTCGTCCTAAGAGTCGTCGTCGTCGTAGTGGTAGCCATCGTCGCAGCAGCACGTGTAGTTGTAGCAGTTGGAGTCGCCGACGTCGGTGTCGTCGTAGTTGCAGTGTTGTTGTGATGCTACTAGTGGTAGTACGTAGTAGCAGAAGTTGCGGTACCAGCAGCAGTAGCAGAGGGATGTGGAAGAGGAGCAGGAGGAGCAGGAGGAGTTGGAGTAGTAGTAGCAGTACGTGGTGGTTGACTTCGTCGTCAACGCTGCCGTGGTAGAGGTCACAACAGTACTTGCCGTGAAACTGAAAAGCCACTGTCGTCGCTGTCGTAGCTTGACATCTTTTTGGACAACCATTCTTCGATTCAAGCAGTTAGCGCCGAGCCATCATACAGCAATGCACCATGTGTAATGCGAAAGAACACTGCAGGCAGCCAAGGTGCAAAAAAGTTGTGATGTAATCGATCTGGTTTAAGACCTTGTCGCGTGGGAGCGTTCTCTTCGCTGCAAACGGTTTATCGACTCCTGTTAAGTGTTCCCAGCCTACGACCACGGGAGCTCAGGTCCAATCCCCTTAATTCGCACCTCTACCTTCTCTAGATCGTAGACCACAGTGTTGGGATTGTCTTTTACCACCCCAACCCATTCGTGCTTGGATATCGAGGTGGCGAGGCATCCAGAGATTGGCCTAAAACCCCAAGAAGGCTTCCTACACCTGCTTCTGTGTAAGGCTCCTTACCTCTGCAACGACGAAGGACTAGTCTACGAGAACTGGGTACTGCAAGCTACTTACGAGCATTGAGGGTTTCAGGGGTTGGTGGTGTACGCCTAGCAGTTATTTGTGTAACGCTTCGGGGTTTACAGTCCTGAATTTGGGCCACCCAATGAGATCAGAGGTCTCCCTAAAACCGACACCGCTGGCAGAGACGACGGGGCTAATAATTACGCTGGTCTTGGACCTTGAAGCGTTCTTGCCGACTACCTGCTCTCTCCTCCGTTCCGCCGCCGAAACTTCAGAGCCCTTGCAGAACTGTTCAACCTACTCCATAGCTGAACCTGTAGGCTGCTCTGCAGACTCGTGAGTGATCCGTGTCTATCAAACTTTATCTATGCCCAAGCCAGCGAACTACAGCTTCAGCTTCGAATAGTGAACCGGGTAGAATCACAGCTGGCTTCATGTTTCAGTAGCTTAAGGGTGGTCGGTAGGTTGCAAGCCGACCAAACCCTAAGCTTAAGACAGCAAAGCAGCAAACTTGTGCCAGGGGTTTGGGACAATTCGGCCGCTTTCGGATGCCGGAATCCTTGGGTGCAGGGAGACGGCACTCTGTTATCCATCGGGTTCCTTCTCGTACATATCAACCTACTGTAGCTGGATGCGAATCTATGTTAAGTGCATGTGTGCGTGCGTATGTGTTCCTGCGCAAGTGGTTACATGTAACAGCGCCTGTTGCTGAGTCCGCGCGGGCACGTGCGACTCGCCTACTCACTTGTTTCATGCTACCATATGCTACCCTGCTACCCACTATCGTACACGTATACCGTGTCTCGCAGTTTTGCATGCAGTTGGTGCTCCTATACCGTACTCCATAAACCCTTGACCTCAATTCTGGGTTTGAAGATGTACGGTCTGGGGTGTTCGGTTAGGCTTGCTCCTGATCTGCTGAGCGATGCGGTGTTTTCGATGATGGCGGTAGTCGCGGTGATGCGAAAGATGATAGATCATGATGACCGTGCTCATAACGTGGCAATGAATGCATGCATGTTCTTAATTTACGTGTGGAGGCAATGTACGTATGAATCTATGCAATGAACAGCCATGCAAGCATGCAGGCACTTAAGCATGTTATCAGCCTGCCTGGCAAGCAAAAATGCTAGGCTTTCCTATTTCAAGCTTCAGCCCCCCAATCCAGCACCTAGGCTGTAGCAGCCTCGCGTCGCCAAGATCACGTCTTGGAATTTCGCTAGTCTCCTAACAGAGACTCAAGTCAATGATTCAGGTCGCTTGAGGATCCCTCATTCTGCAGGGTTTTGCCAAGCTTCAAGATCTTGCAGGAAACTTCTTGGAAGGCTGTGTGTCGACTTTCTACTTTCTCGCTTAGGCTCATGGCTTCTATAGAGGTCGGGCGTCTGGAAAGCAAAGGGGGTTTGGGTTCGCGAAGTTGGCACTACCCTGAACCCGAAGCTCCAAAGTGTCGGACTCGGGGCAAGTAGCTTTTTTTGGAGGGGGGGGGGGGGGCAGGGGTTTAGGGTTTAGGGACCCTCTGATTACCCAAAATATCGGACAGCAAAAACAATTAAACTTTAGGGGTTTCTGCTACGTGTGCCTGGTCCCGCTTTACTCACAAGCCACAAGCCCAACATCGGGCCGTTAACGATCCTCCAAGCCCCACAGATCCAGAATTCAAAAAGCAAAGTCAGGGTCCTTTTCCTTACCTTGAGCCTTAAATACTGATAAAGCCTTAAGCCCTAACATCTTTCTGATTTCTGGCTCCCCAGTAGTATCCCTCTGACCATTTTCCTAAGATCAGCTTACTGCGAAAACCTCAGAACAAGAGAAGCCAAAATGTATCACTGAGGGAGCCATCCCAACGTAAGAACCGAGCGTGAACTATGCCATCCTCCACCTCAATCCCCAAGCCCAAACTGTTTAGGCCCCAACCCCAACACAATCCCACGCTTACGCCCTTAACCCATAAACCTTAAAACTCATCGAAACCTCATCGAACTGTTGAGATTCCTTGTGCTTGTAGAACGATATACATACAGCAACTGGAGGTCTGAGGGTGTAGAAATAGGACGCGATTTGGATTTACATTCCCGAACCTTGAATACCATAACATACCCAGATACCCTGATGATTCAGGCCCCTACATGAAACCCACTAGAGCACTCTATAAAACCCCTCTAAGGACCAATCTGACTAACTTCCCTCTCCACCCCAGAGCTTCCCTGCTACCGACCTTCCATCCGCGAGGACCGCCGACCACATGTCATCCACCCTTTCTAGTCTCTCGACCTTGAAAGGGTCCCTAGACTCTACGGGGCTTTCAAAAGCACGTTTCTAATCTCCACGGGGTTTGTAACAGCCCGTTTCAATTTTCTAATCTCCCGACCTGAAAGGCTCTGTAGGGGTTGTAGGGTTAAGCCCCGCCGAATCGCTTGTTGAAGAAGTATCTTTGTAATTCGTCGTCTCTACCGTACTACAGGGCCACAAGAAAAAATGTTTTTGGGGGTTTTTGAGGTGTTCAAGGGTTTTAGGAGTTTAGCAGTTGAGACTTTAGCTTCGCAACCAACAAGTTCTACAGCCTCTGCTGTTGGATGCGGATGTTGGTGTCTGGGGCTGCCCAGCGCCAGAAGTCCCATGCACGCCAAACCAAGGCTGTATGTAGCTCAGGATATCAACATAGGTGTCACCGAAACATAAAGGTCGAGCAGCGGTTCTACCAAAGGCAACATGGAACATAGTGTCGAGCGGTGTGCAGAGCTAGCACGCGGCGGGAGCGGGTTTAGGAGGCACTCAAAGCTCACGCTCAACAAAGGAATACTGATACCGCAGTATGAGCAGAGTATAAGCCATGAGCTTCTGAGTGATCGGCTTTGCTGTTGAGCTGGATCTCCAGCAAACCTTGCATCGGCAAATAGGGCTGATGCAGGGTGTGGGCCCTCATGTCTTGCTTGATGTATTCAATCTGACCACAGCCTGGCTCCCATATCCATCACAATTGCTCCGACCCCGTCCTGGATGTACCCTTCGCGCTTGGACAACACATGATCTTACAGCACGGGTGGATTTCCGAAAACAAAGGAGACCACGCCAACCATACTCGCAACAAGAAAACCCAAGTAATTATGGGATCCCCAAACCACCCCATAGAAGAGTCCTATGTACAGCTGTGCAATCTCAGCCCGTGCTCCACAAACTTCATACCCACCAAAACAAACCTCTGGAAACAAACTAAACGAGGAAAGCAGACGGCTTTGGTGCTTGAAATCAGCGCAAGCCTAATCAGTTAAGGTCTGAACTCTGCCTGGGTAAGGGGAGAAACAAAATAGGGCTTTGTTTTAGGGTGCGTATGTTGCTGTAGATATGGACGGCTAAGAGGGAACACTACTACAATTGCTCCGGCATCGATATTGAACTCCAAACCCGAAGCCCCTACCTCTCAGATCCCCGATGCGCAACTCGATTGTCCTACCCTCCGAACCAACCTCGAAACTCCAAGCCGAAACCCCGAACCCTCGCTTAAACCTCAACTCCAGCCAAGGGCCCCAACTTAGAAACTGCCTCAAAACCTGATCCCCCAAAGCTCGAAACTCTCTGGAGCCTACACCCTAGACCCCCTGAGCTGCGAAGCCTGTTGCATTGGCATCCGCGATGATATCGCGCCACATAAATTGAGAGCCCTGGCTCGGGATTTCTGTGGTGTTCATGAAGGCCCGGTTCGACAGGTTCATTAAGGCTTAAAAGGGGCTTCAAGGTTTTCCAGGGCTTAGCTTGGGGTTTCTTCTGCTTCTTTAAAGGATTGTTATCGGGCGTTAAGTGTTGAGTTTCGGGTTGCACGTGCCTTTTGTTGGGGGTTAGGGTTGTAAGATTACGGGGCAAGGCTATAATTTCACAGACATTTGTTGAAAAAGGTTTGGGATTTCTTTTCCCTGTCGCATGGCAGATCCGCTTTGGGTTTTTAGGTAAGGCTGGGGCTGGGGGGCGGTTCAGGTGTGGTGCGTAGAGTTTAGGGTCAACCTTGGGTATCTTGGGTCTGTGTTTGCGTCAGAAACCGCATCTTCGGACACCAGAATTGAAGGAAAAGAGGCAACGAACTGCGGCCACGCACATCGGCATGGCACAGATCTTCAACCAGGAGTTTCAGAAGCCAAGCCGAAATCTGGTACCACGAGCGCCAAGTCCGAACTGAATCGGCGGAGGCTGCAGGATGACATCGGAAATGCCAGTTTCGAGTTTTTCCCTTAGGCAGGAGAAATCAAACAGATTGCGTCGACTCAAAAGTTGCGAAGGAGGACCCATCCCCTTGTGCTGGCAGGAGGTGGGTGGCTTTGTGCGGAGGCATGGTCAGAGTCATCCACATGCCAGTTTGACATAGTTTGACTAGAGTGCCTGGCGCCTGCTACTGCCCCTGAAATCTCAGTGTCGACACCCTCGTTGCAATGCTCACCCAGAGTCCTAGGGTCGGGCATCACTGTAATACTCGATTGCTAGAAGTCCTTGAGCAGAAAAACCCAGAACCTCGGGACTCAGCTCTCATCCGCTACAGGCTTGGAGCCTCAGGGGCCTGCCACGGCGTGCGGAGCGGTTTAGGGACTTCGAGTCGAGTCGATTCGAGGCAAGTTTCGGCTGGCGCTACCCCTCAATCCCTTCTGTTCCGGCTAGACGAAAAAGCGAAACCGAAGCTCCCGAGATTCCAAACGGATCTTGGAGGACTGCCCTCAAGTCCCTCAAGGCCTTCGGGCTGTTCTGCACCATCGGTCTCTCATATCGGAGGTGCGAGAAGCCTTTGGGGCTGAGGCGGTCAGAATACTACAGTCTGGAGCCTCAACCGTAAACCGTCAACCTCAGCTCAGATCTTAGAGTCTGAGACCCTGACCTTGAACTTGTAAAGACCAAGCCCTGAGACCTTAAACCCTAAGCCCCAAAGTTGGAACTCTAAGCCCAAAGACCCGAAACCACAAAGCCTAAACCCTCCACCCTAACCCTTTAGGCTCGACTTCCTGCGTCAGGGCTTCGACTCCTTTTGGGAGTCTCATAATTTCCCCAGGAATATAAGAAGTTGGGAGCCGGAGATGCCCCGAAACGCTAGCGGGTTTAAAGAGCATGTTCCGCTGGGAATCTAAGATTCGAGGGTTGTTTCCCACCCGCCCAGCTGGGATTCTATAGGTTTTTTATTCTAAGCGCCTCGTTTCTTGTCCTCCGCTGTTACGCAACCTCCAGGGTTCGAGGGCTTGGGGCATTGGCTGTTCAGTAACGCCTCCCCTTCTTCCCCTAAAACCCTCAGCCAAAACCCCAAACCCAAACCCTAAAAAGCCCTCGAGCAAAAACAAACAACGCCCCTTGCCGCCCGAAGCGAACAGCTCTGCCGGGGCCCCGGCCATCCCCCGTCCTGGCTTCAGATGTTCAGTTTAGGGTGCAGGTCGAAGGTTGCTTTGGATTCAATCCCGAAGCACCTGGCAAAAGACCCGGGTGTCTGAAAGCCAGAAATCCATCCGAACGCACATGGGTGGTTGTCAAAATTATGGTCCCTTTTTAGGTCCTTATTAGAATACGGCACCTATTATTTAGGCTACNNTAATTTTGACAACCACCCACATCTTAAATTCTGCTGACCCTATAGATCCTTAGCCTTCTAGCCGAAACCACCTGTCCCTGAACTCGGAAGCATGAGCAAGGAAGCTATACTGTACGATCTGATCCCGACAAGGGCCCTCCCTGCAGTTCTGTATTGGGGGACATCCCCCTAAAACCCTAATCCCTGGACCCCTTCTGGCAACTGGCTTGCAACGTCACGCCAGGACAGCTGACCCTAAACCCTGCAAGCCTAAACCCTTAAAAACATGAAAGGAGAACCTGGGCCTGAACAAGTCCTAAAAGGCAGTCCCAACACAAGCCCCGAAACTCCAAACACACCCCAAGCAAAATCCGCTGAACTAACTCCATAAAAGCCTTCAGAACACTGATAAAACTGCGTGTTTAACCGCTGGCCTGAAATAGTTCAGGGTGCACTGCGCACACTGGCGAGTCGCCCCCATTTTCGTAACCTCGACGTGCGTACGCTTCCGCTCTCATCCCAGAAGGCTTTTCAACCTTTAAGCCCTTTGGCCCTTGTGGTTTAAGGGTTCATGGTGTTGTAGTCGTGTCTGAGTCTGCGCTATAGAGTTCCACAGGATTCCAAAGTAAACCAAATTTATTTTAAAGGGTCATACTGCTACTACGCTAGAGGTAACATAAGCCAAGATCTAAACTCTTGTATTCCTTCTCCCAATAACTCTAAGCCCGAAACCCGCAGACCTAGACCCTGAACCCCTCCCTACAAACAATCGGACGGAGTTGATTGTCCGGGTCGTCAAAGTTCGGGCTTGTGGCTTGTGGAGCTGGACTTTGTGGCTTTGAGTTCCATGTGTTGGACCTCGGTTCAACACAAGCTGCAGAGTTACAAAACAAGAATAGATCAGGATCCCTTTGAACATACCGATTCAATGTGTAGTGGAGTTGATATGGGCGCTAAAACGCATAAGCCAACTTCCGCCAAGACCCAGTTAGCTTGTCGGATTATGATGAACAAATCCGAACTAGAGAACTGCATGCAACAACTCCAAAGCTCCTTGAAGCGACCAAAAGCACCAGTCCAGAGCTTCAAGGTTTCAGGTTTTAGGAATCCTCGGGGCCTTTAATGCTCAAGGAACTTGACAAGTGACGGCCTGCTATGCTCACTACCAAACATGCTGTAGTTTGCGGGTCGACAGGACTCTGTATCTTTGTGTTCAAGCACCCCCGCTTTGGACTCCCCGGGTTTTACCCTCAAAAAGAATCAAGCCATAAACCTCAACCCTAAACCCTCAAAACCCGACAGCCCTAATACCTAAACCCACGTGCCCTCAAACTCAACAGAGTCAAACCTCCAACCGCAAGCCCCACGGCAGCTCCAGAGTGACAAGCTCTCTAACTTCCGGCCCCCTGCCTTCATCTTGAACCCTGATCTATGAAGCCTGAAGCCCGCAACCCTAAACCTTACTCCTAAACCCGAAACCATCTCTGAGTTCTCAGCGAACAGCACCGACAGAATGGAAGACAAGCACAGGCTGCAAGGGATTGGAAGTGAAGCTCGCCGGTGGAAGGGTACGGCTTCGGGTTTCGTGGGATGTAGTATTGCGCAACTGAAGCGATTGTAGAGGGGATGTGCTAGTATAGAAGCCTGAAGAATTTAATTTCAGGCTATAATTTCGAGAATAGCCGCCAAGAGCAATTCGACCACAATCTCAAGCAACGGTCATAAACCCTAACATGTAAAACTTGAAACCTGAAGCCTCGGCTAAGGACTCTGCGGCTCTCCGCTTCAACCCCGGAGCTTTCTGAAGCTTTGGGCTCGTAGGACTTTAGGGTTTGGGGATTTGTTTTAGAGGGTCTTCGACTTTCTAGGGTTGGCTTGCGCAAGTGGCCCACGGGTTGGTGTCAAAGCGCTTGCTTCTCTGCTTTCTTTGAATCTGAGAAGTTCATGTCAGGCCTTGCTGTTGAGGGTGTGCGCCCAGGGGTTTGTCTCCCAGGCGAGTGACTCTCCCCCCGAAAGGTTCGCACGAGCAGTATCCGGCTTTCCCTGAAAGGGAATCAACCCTCCTTCAGTGGTCCTCAGTTGCACTGATAAGGGCAAAGACGGTGTCGAGGCTGGTCAGAGTTTTGAGGTCAGGCTTTGTCACCGAAGGGACCACTTGAAGGTTCCGAATGAATGCAGAAAGCAACCTTGCACTGCGCCAAGGTTTTTTCGCGAAACACCCTACACCTTAGTCCAACCCCAAACGCCAAACCCGAAACCCCCGCTCCCCAGCCCAGCACTGAAACCAACGCCCAGCAAGGCCTGTAGAAGTCGTCGGAAAAGCCGTGCCACCACAGAAAGGCACCCAAGGGGGTCAAATACCTGCCAACGCTTAGGAAGATCTGTTACTCCAGTGGTAGAGTTACGGTGCTCTTGCAGACATCAGCCAGACACCCAGATCTCCTCCCTGGTTCTTATTAGTACGGAGCCGGGGAATGGATCCCTATGAAAGTCCCTCATAGTAATCCCTAAACTCAAAAAAAAAACCATTCCCCCATTCCCTACCAAGCACCAGCCGAAGCTGCGAGGATGGACTAAGGGGTTCCATCAGCCTCAGGGTGTCGTCCGGCTGCTTGACCAACTCCAGGAAACGATCCACTTCTGCCTCCAAGTCCTGCTGCTTCGGGTTCAGAGATATTCAGGGTTGTTCAGGGTTTAGGATTGATTCGGCACTCACACTCGGACGATCCAGGCTACAGTAGGATGGTTTAGGGTTGCAAGTTGTTTGTAGCTCTCATGTCTTATGTTCTACTGCTTTGGTGCTCCCAAGGGCTGTCGGAGGTTTCACCCTCCTCATGTACCCGCCACTCGAACTTCTTAAGCCTGAGGCTCTCTCGTGTTTAAAGAGGCTCATGGGAACATTGCGAAGTGGACAGCCCCAACATACCCCAACACGTCACCGGGTTTGGTTTGCCTCCTGCATGGCTGAACAAGTCACGAAGCGTCTCTGGGGTTAACATCCACGGTCATAGCTCTATCCAGTGCAAATTCTCATGGGCCTGTGGTTTTTGTTTCGAAGAGCCTTTTACTGCCACTGCTATGTTGCGGCTCATCAATCTTAACGGCTTACTACACACGGTACAGATGCAAACAACACTACAATGGATCATGAACTCTCACCCTTCTGCCAGTTTGGGGTTTCTTGTGGACCGCAAATGCTTTGACTCTGGAATCCAGGTACTGGAAAAGTGTTCATGGCGCAAGGAGCCCCGTGTGGCAAGGGTATATAAGGGCCGGGGCTTGGATCTGATACGTGCGCATTACCGACCTCTACGGCATAAAGACTCCATGTCTGTGTTGTGATGTACATGTATGTATGCATGTATAAATGCACATGTTTTCTGAAAACTACGACGTTGCCTGCCCTCCCTCCTCCTATTCCCCTCCCTCCGCTGGCTGCCTCGCCAAAGACGCCTCGTTCGGCATGGACATTGTCCCAATATCCTCAGTTCGGTGCTTGTGGAGGGACTGCCTGGGCTTCTAGTTCACGCAGCGCACTGCCAGCAAGGTTTCTTGATGCTTGGAGTCAAACGCACGGTCAATGGCCCAAAGATCAACAGATCAACTGCTGAGACAACCAACTAACTGAGAACAGAACACAGAATTTCGGCTTAAGTGATTCAGGCTTAGCGCACCGTCCATGCCTCCCACTTCCCTATTGCCACTTCGATCTCACTGCTAAGGATGTCTGCATCGTCAAGATTGTGCAACACCTGCAAGGCCTCAACCCTTAATCTGAAATCCTGCGCCCTAAATGCAGCAAGGGGCTGCCATTGAAGGCGCCCGATGTGTTCAACGCCTCTGCGCACTAGCAGCAGGGACCCGCATAAGGGTTTCGGGGTTCATCGGCCAAACCATCAACTTCTTTGGGGTTTGGGTTTTCGCAATTCGTTTTTGAACACTGTGCTGACTGTGCTCCCGCCCGCCGTCGGGAGTACTCCTTACACACGGCCTATTGTACATCGCGAAGCAGGCGGACGTAACTAAGAAATCCAGTTTCTACTTTCGCCCATCTCTGTAAATCACTAATGAAAATGACAAACACTAAGGCTGCACTCGTGCGAATGAAACCAACAACTTGTCCTACAAAAACGCTAATCCCATTAATGACCATGCCCATTGCGTTCGGCCAAGAGGCAGTGTCCACGCGTGGATAGCCGAAATAGTTGGTGAAATTGATGTAGTGGTGGTAGTTCACCTCACAATCAGAGGACATACACACGGTTAGCCAACCAGTCTCAGTCGGAACAAAAAGCCCAACCCTAACGCTAGCCCTAGAATGCATCGAAGCCTGCAAGCCTGACTTTTCATCCTTGAGCAAAGCGAAGGTTTCTAGTGCCGGTTCCGATGTTGAGCCACGGATGTGCAGCAGCCCGGTGTAATGCAATGTAGTGCTGGATGCCAACTCACACTGTCATCATCCGAAAGATCATGAGTCTCTCCAAACAACTATCTGCATACAGCAGTCTTGTAGTTTAGGAGTGGCTTACATTCATTGAAGTCAGCGGCATTGTTGAAGATGTAGCCAATGTCCACAGGGAAATCACCTGCAACTCCCGTCGTGCTTTTCGCTGGAATTAGCATGCATGCCGACCCAAGTTGCCGAATTCTTCTATGGCACTGGCAAGAATTAATTCAGATTCACTTCGTGAAAAGATCGTGTTCACAAGCAGAAACGTTTACATACACACGTGTGCTTCCTACCTTTGATATAGTATGTTATGTTGCATTATAGTATATTATAGTTTGTGGTAGAATACAATAGGATATAGCTATATCAAAATAACGCGTAACGTCGTAGAATATAGTACCTTATCAACTACTTTGTTATCTTATCTCTGGTCTATAACTTATATCAAATCGCATGTTTCATCTTTTATAAGGTTTTCCAATTATGTTACAGTACATCAAGCTATACTATATTATCTGATATGATGTTAAATGAAAAACATATTGAATTATTATATTATGTACATTATGTGATATTATATTATACAAATATAGCGTAGTATGGTAAGTGATAGCATATTACATGATAATATGCTATATCTTGATATATTACAGTAAGCAAACGCATATTATATCTCATATCCTATGTTGTACATAATGCATAATGTACATTATAAACTGTGTGATGCATATTATATACGGAATATAGAAAATGTATCTATTACCAGTCGGTCATGCAGTAGGTATTTGCATACTATGTCTTCTTGTATCAAATAAATCATACCCTATATTGATATAATCTCGAATTTGTTAGATTGTTTTTACTAGACAAGACAAGATAATATATGCATCGTGTATATACATACTATATATGTAACATCGAATAATTTTCACATGATATCTAATGAAAACTCTTCGGTTCCCCTCGCTCATATAGAACATAGCATGGTACATGCATTCACATATGTATATGTACATATATATTTACTCACCTATAACAAGAGGTATATCACCATAGTATGTAATGTAAAGCACGTATACTACACCAAAAATAACTGCATACTTTGTATGCTAGACAGTATCTAGAATTTAGCATACAACGTATCATGTACATGGCTACATTATACATTATGTAAAAATGAGCAAAATGTATAACACATAGCAGGGAACAAATCATACATAATGTGTTTGAATGTATCTGTTGCAATTCATGATATCTGTGTGTGTGTGTGTGCGTATGTATCATTATCAGTATTCTATGTTTGTCTACTCATACAATTACACCATGCTAATTTTCACCACTGCTGAGGCGATACGTCGGACAAGCCTTGCTCCGTTGGTTCCACCCAGGTTTTGGAGTGGCCACCGATGTCGTCGGTCGCTTCTAGTAGCACCACCTGCTGAACATCTGTGTGGTGTCGGGTAGTCGGGGAATCTCACTGTAAGTCTATGTTTAGCAACTGGAGGGTGTTCACCAACAACCGCACTAACACCAAATATGGGTTTCTTCTATTCTGCATCAACTTCCAATAGATTTGGATGGAGGCTGCTCGCTGAATCATTGGCTGATTCGGCGATTCCGCTGCTGTAGGCGGTGAGCGGTGAGCATGTTCGACTGTGCAAAATCAATGCCGTGCGTATTATGGTCTTGGGAACCTTAAGTGCTGCTCCTGCAATGGTTCTGCAGAAAGCTTCAACTACTAAGGCCTGCTAGGGTAGGGTCTCTCTCATGGTTTAAATATGTTTAAATCAAACTAGTGAAACTAGTGCTACTAGGGGCCGAGGATACCTTACTTTGGGATGCTTACAAGAATGATCCTACTAGTTCGGGCCTACCTCAGGCTTCTCATTCTCTCAAACAAATCCGAAAACTCTGCCGCCTCCCCCCCCCCACCCCGGCACCCCCCGCCCTTTCCTTGCGGCCGCTCTTCGCCAGCATCCACGCTGCAGAAAGGCCACTGGGCCCAGTGCCCACGACAAGCACCGGTTGGGATGCGTCCTGGTGCTGGGCTTGTTGACTGCTCCCACTTCATGTGTAGCAGTTGCTCTGAAGCTGCAGCGCCGCTTCCTCACAAGCGCTACCGCCCTGCACCGCTTCTGCGTACATGGTATAACCGTGTACGATAGTGACAATTCCTGGTCTTGAAGTGGCGCACAGTCGGCTGTAAGGGCAGCACATAAGAAATCTTCAAAAGGACCTCTTCGGTGCTATAGAACCTGGGCTGGCCAGTGTTCCGCCTTTTCTTGCTTTCTCTTTGATGTAATGGTCACTTGAATTTTTGCCAAAGACGCAAGGCTTGAGTCGGCTTGAGGGGTTGGGAGAAGCCCAGGCAGCATTCGCCCAAGCGGCAGTCCCAAGAAGAAACCGATAAATGCCACCAGCGCAAAGAGGGGTGCACCGGTGAACACCTGAACCGACAGGTTTGCGCGGAATGCAGCGGACACAACCGTTCCCCATCACTGTCCAACAAGCGACGTATCGCCAGAGACGCGATCTGATACCGCACCTGGCCAGGCTCTGGGGGGACTCTACCGAAGCGAACTTACTTATAGCTTATTGGCTTCTAGGGGGCCTTACAACGAAGATCTCAGTATCTAGGGTTGTATACCAAACTAGTAGTAGCCCTTCTTTGGAGGAGCTTCCATATGATGCTTTCTTGTCTTGGTCGACGAGTGTTCCGAGCGCCTGCCAGCACAGCTGAGGTGGCACGGGACCAACGTCAACAACAGCAGCGTAATGACCTCAGCATGCACGCCAAGGCTTCGCAGCATGCCGGCTCGTTGGGCACGACAAAGCTGCACTGGAACGCTGCTAGTAGAAGAAGCCACATGAAACCACATGGCATGTGCGGTCCATGGGTCCGTGGGCACTCTTGACTGAGCCGAGGGCTACCGAGGCATGTGCCACGATGTCGATGTTTCCCTGGTAACACTCTCTGACAGTTCCTATGCTAGCAGCGGTTCGTAGAGGGGATGCGTGCCGACAGCAGCAAACACCTGATTGAACACTGAAGCCGACCGACGACCGAAGCAGCCAGCTGCATTGATCCAACAGTGGGTGCCTTCCAAACGAACGTCAACATCAGGAACAGCAGGACTGTGGTGGCCTGAGCGTTTCGAAGCTCACAAGCCACAACTTGAAAATCAAGCTTGCCTAAATTTCACCCTGGGTCCCGCACCAGCATGAGCAAGGGAAACATGCAACAGGCCAAGCTCACGTGCAGCATGCGCTCCTCGGCGGTAACTGTGCATTAAACACTGCAGAACTTGCATCAAACATGCTGCGTTTACTTGCCCTTCAAACATCTTCAAACGCCAGAAGTTTATCGTTCAAACTTGATGGATAGACTCCCGCTTGGTGGGTCTGCGTCTCGATACTGGCTTCGATGCATCGGCCTGCAACGGCGCTCTTGATGAGGTTGAGGGCTGGGACTTGATCGCATGATGGGGGCTTGGGCCACACTCCAATAACAGCATACGGACAAATGCCCCTGTGCGTTATGAGATAGCACCCATGCTGTGGGCGCAGAATCGACGCTGACTTCCAATTCGTCGCTTGCGACTTGTTGATACGCGCTGCTACATGTAAGTAAACAAATTTGAACACGTTACCAAGATGCACGCGGCTGGCGCTGACACAAACAGTCAAACAAACAAACCGACCGAGCGGCCGACAGGGAACAGACACACAAACAGATGGAGCCACAAACAGACAAACAGACCAATCCAATGCACCGACGGCAACTGTTCCATACGTGCGCTGAGGAGAGGCAGTGATGGGTGTTGCCCCTACCCGCCGCATAAACAAGGCTGACGGTGGTCCCACCGGCGCACGGTGCCCGGCTGCTGAACATTGGGCCAGTATGATCCCAAATATGAACCAATCGATTCGGCCAAGCAGGACCAGGGAGCAACGAAGAAGGGAGAACAGAGAACACAGCACGCAACCAGGCACAACACGGCAGAACCACAGTAGAATTAACCCAGCTGTGCAACTCAACAGCAAAATGCCCCAAAACACTCGAAATTCAATAACGAACAAACACAGATGCAACATCAAGCATCACCTGGATCATGGGAACGCCCTGCGGGTCATTGCAACTATCACCGGAATTGGGAGGGAACTCGTCTCGGTTAGACCCTGGAACAAACGGGCGCCACCAAAGCCACATTGCTTTTTTTTTGCATCTTACAGTGGTCGTTGTGGCGAGATTCGCAGGAGCTAAAGGATTGAACGACCTCATGGTGGCAAACTTTCCAACAAATTCCAAAGCCATACTGATCAACCCACCTCACTTATAAAACTCAATCACGGGAAATCAATAATAATCCGGCCCTGGTGCCCAAAAGAGCACATGAGGCCATTTTCTCAGCCCTCCCAGAGTCGCAAAGAGACAAAGCGAGCGTAGTACGAGTGGGAGCCAATATCCCTTGCCAGGGCCCGAAACCGAACAATCACAATACCGACCGCGATAGCCTCGATGTCGATGATTGGCGGGCCTGGCCCGATGCAATAGTCTGCTATCAAGTTATGCACCTTCGAAGAACATCTCAAAGTTTGGATTTATGCTTGCGAGAACACATGACCAGTCAGGACGCGATGTGGTCGGAAGGCCTGGTATTTCAGCTTGGTAGTTAAACTTGTCCGAGCCGTCCATCTTTGCAGGTTGCTAAGCTCCGGATACCTGAGGCACATAAATCACGTAACATGAACTGAATGCGGGAAGCTGCGCTGTCACGCTCGAGGGAACACGACCGAAGCACAACATGTCCGAACCCTCCCGAACCTTGGAGCCCCAAGCAGACATGAGACCGCGCCTGGCACCAGGGTGTGGCTAATCAGCCGACCTACGTGCCATGCGCGACCCAGGCTATATACTATCACCAAACGTTTGAGCCAAATGGATGACACAACAAATGGCATTTCATAGAGCCGCTGGAGTAAACATGCAACCACAAAGGCTTAGACGCTCAACCCGGAAGCTCCTAGCCGACGGCTGCTGTCAGAAGCCTCTCTCTGTTGATGAAAAGCTTGTGACCTATGTACATATGTGTACACACCTCTGAACCCTGTGAAATCCCAAACCTCTTTAATACTCTAAAAACCGTAAAGCCTCAACCCTGAAAGCACGTCACGAAAACCCTCAAGCTCTAACGCCCTATATAAGAAACCTAAAACCCTAACGCAGTAAATCCTTCCTTGGATGCCTGAACTTTTCTCACGAAGCCCTGAGCAGTGCGACATTCAGTGTTTCCGCTTCCGCGCATCTGTGCATGTGGTAAAACGGAGATGTCGGGGGTTTGGGGTATTATATAAGGTTTTGGGATTGGAGTTTAGGGGGAGTAAGGTTTTAGGGGTCAATGTATTCTACTATCCCGCAGCTTCCCTCCCCGAGCCTATGAACCCATACCGGAATACCCGAACCTTCAGCACTAAATCGTTTGGACTCACACCCCCCGAAACGCCCAGGGTCTTGAAATCGCGCTCAAAGGCGCATGTAGCGGACTCCATGCGGCAAAGGACCCTGAAGCTCACAGATGGGATCAGAAGCCACGGCCTCGGTAGAAACGGATTTTCGGATTCGGGGTTTGGGATTTAGGGTTTAGGTTTTATTTCAGTTTTTTGGTGTAAAGTTATCTTTATTTCATTCTTTTGATTGGGATTTAGGGTTTTGGGGGGGTTTAGTGTAGGATTGTAAGGATCTTATGATATAGGGACCTTAATCAGCAGAGTAGGTTCTTGGCAAACAGTTGTAGCTGAAGGGTTCCAGGTTTAGGGTTGCGGATGCGCCTGGGCTTTTTGTCAAAGGCCCCAAGGCTCGGTGTTTCGGCTTTCCTAAAGAAGAGGGCCTTGGGACATCGGGCCTAATTTGTGGTTTCTTGACAGCAGGCTTGCCTCGGTAACGAACAGATCCCAATAGTAAAGATCCTACTCTTTAGGGTCTATGTTATGGCCCCTATCTGCTAAAACTCCCGTTTACCTTGGGGCCCTTGGCATCTTCCCCTGTCGGGGATGGTCGAAGGAGATTCTTACACATACTATACTATACTATACTATACTATACTATACTATACGATAATCTCAAGTGGCAACATCTCATATGACCTCCTAGCCCCAAGATCCTGGCGACATCGGCTTTCCCAAACCCCTAAACCCTCAAGGCCCAAGGCCCTGAACCGGACAAGCCCTAAAACCCTAAAACCCCAACACTCCAACAACCCGAAACCCGAAAACTCCAAAAACACAAACTCCAAACCCCGAGATGCCCTAGTGCCCTAGAGCTTCGGAGCTGCTAGATGACCACAGCCGAGGCCACAGCGCCCCCCTGGGTTGCGATCAGCCTGCCATGATCCAGTTCTGCTTTCGGGTTGAGGGCTTAAGGCTTAGGCTTTGGGGATTTCGGTTGAAAGCTTAGGGTAATTATACGGATCAGGCTTTTAGGCTTTAGTATTAGGGTTTTCGGTATAAGGTTCAGGCTTTAGGGTCTTGGGTTCAAGGTTAGCCGGCGGTGCTGGCGGTGGTGGTAGCAGAAGCAGAGAGACATGGTAGTGGCAGTAGTAACTGCAAGAAAACCGATCTACAGTCGCAGGTGTTTGATCTCCCTAAACCCCCAAACAACCCGAAACCCTAAGCCCTCTGATCTGCTCCCCGGCCCCTCAAACTTGGCCAGCGAAACTCCGCCCGAAGCGCTGTGCATGTCCACAGCTCACCGCGTCCCTGGGAGGGTTTCAGAGCTTTGGGGTGCTAGGTTTGTTTAGGGTAGACTTGGTTTCGGCTCTAAACCTAGGGATTCTCGACGCTTTTTGCCCTTGTTTGCAAAGGCTCCTATAGCTCTCAAGCCTCAAACTAGTATCCTTTTCTTCCTTAAGCCCTACCTTGAGTCCTCCACCCTCCACCCTTCGCACATGCGCCTGGAAAGACCGAACAGCCCCCGAAGCGCTCAAATTTCACAACCTCACCAGACACAAAGCCTGAGGGCCTGAACAAGAAGCCCCGCTTGTACACGTTTCAAACTCGAAGTCCGAACACACCCGCCGAAGCCGTCGAAGCCCGAACTCTAAACCCGATGTCTATAATTTCCAAACGCACAAGTCTATACAACCCTGGCAGCCGCTTCTGGAAGCCCAAAGCTTCGAAAGAATGAAAACAGACTATCCTAAACCCTACACCCTCTAGGTCCCCCTTGCATGGGGAGAAGGCCCCGGATGCCGCGCCACGAAACCACATAAGATCTACACTTCTAAACACTACGACTACACTGTACGCCCAAGTCCAGGTGCCTGAATACTTGGACTATGGTTTGGGAATATGTTTGGGCATATATTCTCGTATACGTATACAGACACTACAAGGAGAGATTCTGGCTACCACTAGGTCCCTCTCAAGCCCAAAGTCCTGAGCAAAAAAAAACTAAAGCCCAAAACCCTGAAACCTTCAAATCCTGCAGCCCCAAAATAAATCTCAACCCCCCCCAACCCCCCTAACCCTGAAGCCCCTTAAAAAGGATTCGACTCGGGGGCCTTGGCGGGCGGCACATGCTGGAAGGTTGTGGTTACCAGGGCTAAACCTCGGTCTTCTTAGTGGTTTAGATGGGATTAGGTATGTTTAGGGGTCAGGGGGGTTTTGGGGGTTAGTAAGGGATGTTTTGGGTCTTAGGGATGTTTGGGGTTTACGGGGTTTTGGGGTTCCGGGCTGAGGGATGTTTGGTCAAGAAGCTCTGCGCTTTCTAGGTTCAGGTGGGGTTGAAGCAAGCTTTTTGCTTCCTCAACTGTACTGTAGTTCTTTTGGGATGGACCTAGGTACTTGCTATGTGCTGAGGGCTGAACCACTTTGCATTTATGGGACGCTAGGGATTAGGACGGTTTGGATTTATAGGGTTCGGGGTTGCCGCCCCTCTCCGGAACCTGCACCCCCATACCGCAAGCCTTTAACCAAATCCACAACCTTACTCCCCCAGACCGACATACCTGTCACCCAAAATGCCCAACTCCAAGCTGGAGCGCCCAACCTGGCGCCTTCAACCCCAACAACAACGCACAGAACAAATCTAAAACTAAACCCGAAACTTTCAGCTCGAGAGTTCTATTGTCCATAGGCCTTTAACCTCTATAGCTCTACAACCGCCAAAATGCTAAACCTCCTCTGAATCCTCGTCCTAAACCCCTTGCTTGCCATCTGAATCCTAAACTCGCAAACCTGACTCCTACGCCTCGCCAGCCATCATGGAACGCCACCACAATGCATGCTGGTACATGCTAGTACATTCTTTTTGCCCCCATCTGCTTCGTAGCGGTGCCCTCACAGACTCGGATGCAGCTTTGAGGGTACCTGGCAAGCCTTTAATGCGGACCCTCGTTTAGGGTTTAGTACTGTACGAACTCTTGAACCAGGTCCTCAAGTCGCGGCCTGCCGTTTCATGCCTTCGACGCCAATCTTGATCTCAAAGATCATTTCGCAGCCCTCAGCCCTAAACCCGAAGAGGTTTCAAGGGAGAGGGAGCGCCAAGCTTGCCTCTCCCGAAAACCTTAAACCGTACTCTGCGACGGCTGCAAGCCCATTCGAGTAGGTCCCTTGTTCAGGATGAGAATCAAGACGAAACAGTCAACCCGAATCCGAGCCCGAAGCCCTAAAACTCCAAATCCTCCGACTCTGTCAAGCGGTAATACACCTTGAAGCCTGAAGTACGGATCTGTGGCCTGACCAGCGCCAACTAGACTTGACTTGTCTTGTCTTGGCTTGACTTAACCAGCGCACCTCAGCCAACCAACACCCACACACTGCTCATAGCAAGCCACACATTATGCAACTTCGCGGAGATCAAGCCAAGATGGACACCGACTAAACGCACCCTCTATACTATATATATATAGAGAGAGAGAGAGAGAGTGGAACCCGATGAGACGATCATGCCGCCTAACGCGAGCGACCCCTGAACCTGAAATCCCGGTTCAGGGACCGAGCTCCCGGAAGAGTGCGCTAAAATCAGCCGGGCGTTCCAGGGCCGGTAGCCTTGGTCTAACGCTTTGGGGGTCTAGAGTTTTTAGCATCGTGCGTTGATAACTAGAACGTGCTTTGGGGTATATTCTGGTAGAATTGTAGCAAAAACCCAGTGGGCTCGGGGTTTGGGACCTAAAGGCTTAGGTTTCGGGCTTAGTGTTTATGGGTTCAGGACCTAGGATATGTTTTGGGCTTGCAGCTTGCTTTAGTTCTACTGTTCAGTCTGTGCCTTCGGTGTTCGAGTTGACAGAATGAATGATCCCTCCACCAGACGTCTCAAGACTCAGAAGTCTTACGATCAGCATGATGTTGATGCCCGAACCAGAAATCGACATGACAGTACTCGCAAAAGCAACGTCGTATTCCTGAAACCGCTGCAGACCCACAACACCAGGTTCAAGGAAGGAGCTATGTCAGTAGTGCCTGAAGACCCATGCAATCTCGCTCCAACCCCAAACCCTAAGCCCTGGATCCGACCAACCCTTGAGCCAGCAAACCTTATTTTCTTTACCCCAACCTGAACTTGAACGTCGTATGCAAAAAGGGCTATGATACAGAAGAGCTTCAGACTGTTAAGGAACCCTTATGTACAGCCGTAAGCACGCACAAGGATCCCACTAGGTACCCCGGACTTGCTGAATCCCCATAACCTGACCTACCACATTCACAGCATACGCCGCGGTGCCTTCGGAGGCAAGATCCAATTCCAGGGAGTTCAGCCGCGGGACCTACGCCCGCATGAGCTGGGTTTCGTGATTGGGATTTCTAGGGATCGCGGCTTACGGGTTTGACTAATAAGGTGCGGCTTGGTGATTTAGGGGTTCAGGGGTTATGGGCTTGTCAGGGCTTTCGGGTTGAGTGCTTGGGGTGTTGGGGTTTGGGAGTTGAGGGTTTAGGGTTTGCAGGGTTTAGAGGTTTAGGTCTTGGGTTGAGGGCTCGGTGGCTGGATGCCTGGACCCTAAACCCTGAAGCTTTGCTGTCTCCGTGAGCCTCTGACTCTCCGCAGGAAAACCTTAAGCTCGTCTGGGGTGTTGGGATTTCGGGTTAAGGCTTTTCGGTTTAGAGTGCAGCGCATTGCGGTGTCGAAAAAAGCGTAGCCTTCTAGCGAAACAACGTGATACGTATACTTTTGTGGACATGGTGGCTCATTCGGGAAGGCCGCAAGTAGGAGCACTTGTGGAAAGCGTGAGTCTTGTCCCCCCAATGCTGCCATTGGTGCATGTAGCTGCGATATATTACGTGCCCTACAAGAGCTTGGTCTCTACAGGCATGGACGAGCTTGAATGCTGAGTGCTTGAGGGTTTAAGGATGAAGGGTTTCGGGTTTAAGGGTTCAGCGTCATGTCTAGGCTGGCCCCACAGACAAAATGATGCCAGAAAACCTTGCGAATTCCGCGGTTCATGTACGGTTCAGGGGTTTTGCTTCCCACTGCAAAAATAAGTCAC